AGAGAAAGAAAGAAAGAAAGAAAGAAAGAAAGAAAGAAAGAAAGAAAGAAAGAAAGAAAGAAAGAAAGAAAGAAAGAAAGAAAGAAAGAAAGAAAGAAAAAAGTAGTTATCACCTTCTCTGGGGCAGATGAATGTTCAAAGAGGTTAAGGGACTTGTCTGGATAATGCACTCAGGATAATGCATTGGACTGCAACGTCGTTTGAATTGCAAGGTTGACTGTTCAAACTCACCAGACCGCTCCTTGGAACCCCTATACAGGGAGACCACTATGAGTAGGAACCGGTTTGACAGCACTTAACAAAAAGTGCTGTGTACATAAAATACTTCTAGCTAGCGCCAAAATGAATTTTTAAATCTGGAATGTCTATTTTCCGACACTTTCCTCCCCACGGCCTCTGGAGGGCGATGTCCCTTTAAACCTAGGCCCTACAAGGGCCAATCAAAGTGGATAGAAATCTTTAAAGGCCAAAGGAGGGAATTCTGCCGAAGAAGTCGGGGGTGTGCCTTCCAGCCAATCAAAACCTCCCTAGCGACCAGTGACTCACGTGCAAAGCTCTACTGACCAATGTCAGGGGCGTCGAGAGGCGGGGCGGCTCCCGTGAGTGCAGCCAGACCAATGGGCACGTGGCCCACGGACTATAAGAGTAGGGGGGACCCTGGGCCCCGGGCTCTAGGGTCGGTTGGTCGTCGCCGTCGGAGGTGTGCCCTGGGTTTGCCTCGCCGTCCCTGCCGCTCCGTCCCTGCATTCGCGCCCCCGGCCTTGGCCCGGCCCAGCCGCTCTCCCTGCCCTCTTCCCCCAAACCACCCCTGGTGTCTGCCATCCGGGGTCGGGCGGATGATGCCGTCGGAGAGCAGAGCTGAGTGTCCGGACGGGGCGGCCGCGCAGGTGGGGACGGCTGCGGCCACGGCAGTGGCCACGGCTGCCCCGGCAGGCGGCGGCCCCGACCCGAAAGCCTCATCGGCCTCCCTGGAACGACATCGTAGCGGGCTAACCTGGCCGCAGGTGAAACGGCTGGACGCGCTCCTGAGCGAGCCGATTCCCATTCACGGGCGCGGTAACTTCCCCACGTTGAGCGTGCAGCCCCGGCAGATCGTGCAGGTGAGCGGGTGCTGGAAGGAGAGTGTGGGGCGCTTGAGTCTGTTGTACTCTCTGGACAGCTGGGGAAACAGCCCCAAAGAGGGGTTGTTGTTGTTGTTGTTCAGTGCCATCGAGTCGGTTCCAATTCGTTAAGTGCCGTCGAGTTAGGGTTTGTAATAATAATAAATCGTACAGCACAGCTCCTTTTCCCCCTGCCCTCAAAATCCCAACCCACTTGCTGTTTCTGCCCCCAGATTCTCTACAGACCACACACCCAGCCCTAGCTGGGAGAAGAGAGGGAGTGCAGAGCACCTACCCACCCACCCACCCACCCACCCCCAGAATAGCCCTGTGTCTGCAAAGACAAAGATGCCAGGTGGTTTAGAGGGGTAAATGTGCATACCTGCATCCAAAGTAACTTTTCATCCCCACTGCTGATCTCAAGGTCTCAGAGGTAGATTCTGTCTTTGGGCTCTCAGACCTAGGCTCAGAAACCTCCTGCAAGGTGGAAAGACTGAGAAATCCTAGCAAGGGTCATGTCAGGAGGGGCTTCATTAAGTGCCAGGCCTGATGTCCCCAACACCCAGGACATCATCAGGTGTTCTCTTCTCCCCTTCCCCAGGAGTGAAGGGCCCTCAAGTCTGAGGCCCCACCTGTCTTCTGAGAAAATGGTCCAGTGAATTCTAGAAGCTCTTCTCCCATATCTTTCTTCAACTCTTCCTTTTACCTGGTCCTCATTGACCCCTAGTGTGGTGCTGTAAAATAAGCACTGGACTACTCAAGGTTGGTGGTTCAAATCCACCAGATGCTCCTAGAAACCCTATACAGGATCTCTATGAGTCAGAACTAACTCAGTGGCACTCAACAGCTGTAAACTCAAAACTCTTCTTTCAACTTAATCAGACATTGTCATGTCCTAAAATACCAGGGTATGCTAATTATCATACCCATTTCATAGCTGGAGAAGCTGAGTCCCCAAGAGGGCCATGAGAACTAATATTACTTAATGAGATGAAAATCAAACCCTGGGAATCTTTTGAGTCATCTCAGGAACAGGTTGCTGTGGGTTCAAGATTTTCATACCCTTTCCCCAGCTCCCAAGACTCAACTTCTAGGCCTTGGGTGAATTCCCTTATGGAAGAAACCAGAAAATCCAGCCACAATTTCTGCAGATGGGCTTTCTTTCTGAGAAGGCAGATGCTTCAGCTTCTGGCAGAGGGGGTGGGGTACTTTCTGGGGGATTACCTCTCCCTCCCTCCTGAGGAATGGGAGGGGGTGGGGCAGATTCTCTTGGGCTGACTCACCAGAAGCCCCAGTGGTACTTAACAAAGCATTCCTGGGCTGCCCGCTCTAGTCTGGGTGACTAGAAAACCAATGCAGGCTTTTCTTCCCAGGACAGTCAGGCCAACCATGGGGGCTCAGGCTTATGGTACCCAGGCATTGGAGGAGGGGTCACTGGAGCCCAGTGTGGCAGTTCCCCTCTGCAGGGACAAGAGGTACCTTGAAATTTGGTCCAAACTGCCTTTGCTACAAATGCTTCCTGTGTTCCAGGCGTTACCACCGAGTTTATGCTATCTCATAGTGACCCTACAGAACAGAGTAGAACTGCCCCATTGGGTTTCCAAAGCTGTAATCTTTTATGGATGCAGACAGCCACATCTGTTTCCCTTGGAGCAACTGCAGGGTTCAAACCTCTGACCTTGTGGTTAACACTGAGCACTTAACCACTGGGACCCAGCCTCTCTGCCCTCCAGATACCATTAGCCAGGTGGGAAGACTTTTAAGTCAGATAGTATTATACTGCCCTCCTTGAGCAGGTAAGAGATACCATCAGCAGTTGTAGGGGGAGGGGTGACAGTTTTCTGAGCTGGACTGGAAAGTTTGGGGCCTAAACTATGGTCAGTTCCTTTTGCTGGACCAGTATTCCCATCTGTCCAATGAGATGAATTGCCCTGCTCTCCAAGGCCCTTTCGGGCTCCAGAATCCAAAGAGAACCTGTGCTTTGACCTGACCTACCACAGCTGCCTCCACAGGGAGAAAGACATTTCTGACAGGTATCTGCAACTGGCAATTTCAAAAGCAGTGAGGATGTGTCTTGTCGGGGTGCTGGTTGTTGACATTGGGCTTCTCAGCAGTCTTGAGTTGACTCACAGCTTGAGAATTAGAACTTTTCTCCCTTTCCATTCCCACAAGGCTTCTTTTACAACAGTAATGTGAGTAGCTAGAACTACTTGTTCTTGCCTGTACATTGGCTGTAGGGAATCCTGCCTGTAGCCCTGTGGGCCACTGATAGTGTGACCTTGGACAAGTCCTTTGCCCTCTCTGAGTCCAGATGGTTGAATTAGACAATCATAGAAATCCAGACTCTCCAGCTGCAGCCAGTGGGACTGCATTAGGCACCTCTAGATACGGGTTTGGCAAGCCTGCTGGCGGACAGTGTCTGTAGTCTCCTGCAGCTCTCAGCAGCTGACCTGGGAGCAGAGTTGCTCTGGAGAGGGCCTTGGCACAGGACAAGGGAGAACGCAGGCACAAACCCTCTGCACTGCTGGAAAGTTTGATTCAGGAGGTTCTAAGCTGCCCCACAGTTCCTGGGTGTGGTAGTATCTGGGGAACTGCCTGCCAAGCTGGCTATAGTCACACCTGGGAAAGAGACAACAGCCGCTGGCTAGCTGACACAGCCTGTCCCATGGGCCTGACGCAGGGGATTTTACGAGGGTACTGCTGCCTACTCACCAGACCAGATGCCATGCCCTGGGGTGGGCACCAGATGGGAGCAGGGGTTGGCACTGAGTAAGACTCAGTTAGCTCTAATGGGACTTGAGCGAGTTGTTCCGTTCTGAGGTCTAGCAGAGTCCTTGGACCAAGGTCTTTGGACCACTTCTCTCCTTAGCCTACATGGCACCGTAGCAATTGACCCTATACCTCCATCCTCTTCTGTCTGCCTGACCAAGGCACCCCAACACCCACCTCCCCACTCCTCAACTGCTCAAGTTTTGGGCTTCAGTAACTTGAGGATTGCCTTCATTTTGGGATTTTTCTAGTCTCTGCCACTTCTAAACACTGGTACTATAAAGTAGTAGAGTCTTGGTTTGAAGTCTCCTCTGCCTGTCACCCAAGGGCAGGTAGGTGACTTCACTCCTGTGAGCTTCAGTTTTCCCATCTATAAAATGAAGATCATAAAGTCTCCCCTGCAGGTTCTAGTGAGAAGGTCCAATCCTGACATCCAGTGGGCACCCAGCCGATATTAATCCCCCACTTTCCTGTCCCCTCCCTGGGTTCCTGATGGTCATTTGCCTCTTGTAGTACCTTCCTTTAGACAGAGTCCTCCTCCCCATTCCCGGAAGCCTTCCTGGAGGGCACCGCCCGCCTCAGATTGCCCCACTGTGCTTGCCTCCTCAGCACTTGAGTGCATTCTTTGCAGTAATTCCCTGCTGAGGTGAGGAGGACAGCTTGGCCAGGTGCTGACTTAGCAGTAAGGCGGGGTTTGCGTTGCTGCTTGGGTAGGAATGTCACCTGGTCACTTTCAGCACAGCAGCTTTGGGTTGCTGAGGAAACAATGTCCAGCCCCAGCTTCACTCTTCTGCCTAGCTGGTGCCTCTGGCCAAAGGAACAAGTTCAAGGTAACTTTGTGGATTTACCTGCCATGTTCCTGTGTCCTCAGGCCTGGGGGCTATTTGAGGACAGAAAATAAGGCTTGGCTCCTGAGGCTTCCTGAGATCTTGACCCAACCATCTTCTCTCCAAAAAGTGGAAACAGTCCTGCCATTTCTGAGTAGCTTTTACTCGGAGCCTTGTGTGTTTCGCTACTATATGCCTCAGTTTTCTCATCTGTAAAATGATAGCATTTACCACACTGGGTCCTTGTCAGGATGAGTGTGTCATAGTCAAAAAAGCAGACATGGACTTTAGAATCCCACCTGGGTTCTAGTGTCAGCCTGGCCACTTTGTGACCTTGGGCACATGGCTTAAGCTGTGTCTCAGGTTCCCCATATATAAATTAAAATAATACTTCTCAAACATAGCAGAGGAAGATCCCCAACAAGATGGATTGGCCAGGTGGCAGCATCGATGGACTCAAGTGTGGCAACAGTAGTGAGGTTGGCCCAGGATCGGACATTGTTTCGTTCGGCTGTGCATAAGGTCACTATGAGTCAGTGCTGACTCGATGGCACCTAACAACAACAAAATATAGGATTATTAAAAGGGTTAGTATGGTAATGCATGTGGTCTGATAACTATATTGCCAACACATTTAGGTGGACTCAGAGTGAAATTAAAAGCGCTCTGGTGATAAGTGGTTAAGCACTCAACTGCTAACCAGAAGGGTGGCGGTTTGAACCCACCAGCCACTCTGTGGGAGAAGTTTGTGACTGTATGTTTCTGTAAAGATTTACATGCTTGACAACCCTGTGAAGCAGTTCTACTCTGTCCTTGTTGTTGTTGTAGTTGTTAAGTATTGTTGAGTCAGTTCCAACCCATAGCAATTGGCTTTCCAAGAAGTGGCTGGTGAGTTTGAACCACCAACATTACGGTTAGCACTCCAGTGCTTATCCAACAGTGCCACACCCAGGACTCTTGTCCTATAGGGTTGCTTTTGGTTAGAATCTACTCAGCTGCAATGGGTTTTAGTGATTAAGGCTGTCTGCATTTAGTTTGCAGCACTGCGTTCACCGGCTGTGTGACCTTGGGCAAGTTACTTGGCCATTCTGTGCTGCCATTTCCCTATCTGTAAAGTGGGAATAATAGTACTTCATAGGTACTATTAGGGTTATTATAAGAGTTAAGTAAGTTTATATCTTAGATCAACACCTGGTGCTTAGTTAATTTTATGTATGTGTTTGCTATTATTATTGCTGTTCTTCTGAGTCGTACCTCTAAGTGAACCATCTTCTAGATTAGGAAATGGAGGCTCAGAGAATTATATGACTTTCCAGTGGCCCAACAACTGATAAGTGGTAATATGGGCCTGACTATATTACATGGAAGCCCGCGGTGCAGACCACAGGCCCCAGGCTCCTGACTCCTCTTCCTCCTGTCCCGCATATCCCCTTAGGTCGTCCGCAGCAGCCTGGAGGAACAGGGACTGCGTGTACATAGTGTACGGTTACATGGCTCCGCCGCTAGCCATGTGCTGCACCCCGAGAGTGGTCTGGGTTACAAGGACCTGGACCTAGTGTTCCGTGTGGATCTGCGCAGTGAGGCATCCTTCCATCTGACCAAGGAGGTGGTGCTGGCCTGCCTGTTGGACTTTCTGCCGGCCGGGGTGAGCCGAGCCAAGATCACACCATTGACCCTTAAGGAGGCCTACGTGCAGAAACTGGTGAAAGTGTGCACGGACACGGACAACTGGAGCCTCATTTCACTATCCAACAAGAGTGGCAAGAACATGGAGCTCAAGTTCGTGGACTCAGTGAGGCGCCAGTTCGAGTTCAGCGTGGACTCATTCCAGATCATCCTGGACTCACTGCTGCTCTTTAGTCAGTGTTCCTCCGCGCCCATGTCTGAGGCCTTCCACCCAACAGTGATAGGCGAGAGCCTATACGGGGACTTTGCTGAGGCCTTGGAGCACTTGCGGCACCATGTCATCGCCACACGCAACCCCGAGGAGATCCGAGGAGGTGGTCTCCTCAAATACTGCCACCTCCTTGTACGGGGCTTCCGACCTCGGCCTAATACTGACGTCCGTGCCCTGCAACGCTACATGTGCTCCCGCTTCTTCATCGACTTTCCAGACCTAGTGGAGCAACAGCGCACACTGGAGCGCTATCTGGAGGCCCACTTCGGTGGAGCTGACGCCTCCCGCCGCTACGCCTGCTTGGTGATGCTGCACCGGGTAGTCAACGAGAGTACTGTGTGCCTCATGAACCACGAGCGCCGTCAGACACTAGACCTCATTGCTTCAATGGCCCTGCAGGCCCTGGCCAAGCAGGGCCCAGCTGCCACCGCTGCCCAAGCCTGGCACCGTCCAGGCCCCGACGGGATTATGCCAGCCACTGTCAATTACTATGTGACCCCTGTGCAACCTCTGCTGGCCCGGGCCCACGCCTACCCCACCTGGCTGCCTTGTAACTGACTGGGACCCTGGCCAAAAGAGGCTGGACCTTACTGGATGGTGTGGGATCTCCAAGAAGGTGTGGAGAACATGACCAGAGACAACCAGCCTGTGGCAGGTGGCCCAGCATTGCTATAGGGTTGCACCTTTGATTGAACCAGAACAGACTGCTCAAGGGAGGCCCTTGTGGGCTTACAACAGCCAAGCTGGGATTCTGGGCAGGAGGGTCCTTTGGTTACGCACTCTTGGAATGCATGATTATGGGTGCTGGGGTCATTTGTCTTGGGGGGAGTCAACCACCTTCAGGAGACAAAGCAAATTTGGATTGGTAGTCTAGTGCCCAGCATCTTGGGTTAATTTCCCTGGCTCAGAAAGGACTTTTTGGCTATGGTCAGCCCACAGCGATCTCAGCAGCCTCCTCTAAGGGCCTGTAGCCCAAACACAGTGAAAATTCATTGTTTGGGGGACTACTCACCTTGAGTCAGGTTGGGCCATTAACAGTGGTCCAGCCTATCTAATCATTGGGAGGAGGGAAGCAGGTTTGGGAAGGGGTAGGTTTAGCCCAGTCTCCCAACTCTCCACCTTCCTCTTGAGAGGTCTAGGTGTGCACAGGATAGCAGCATGGGACAGGACCTACTTATATCCCTTCCAGGATGTTGCTCTCTTTCCCAGTATCATGAAGAGCCCTCTTGCCAGGGAGCTTGTTCTTTGGAGAGTGCTGGGCCCAAAATGACCAGAGTCAAGTGTCCCCTTCCCATTGGCCTGATTATAGGGTCCTCACTTGGTGGACAGGGGCCATGCCCAAACTCCTTTCCCAGCCCTCTGGATTTGTTACTGTTTTACACTCTTAAACACCTGTCAATAAAGTTGTCTACGCTGAGCACAGTGCCATGCTTTCCATCGCTGTGGGGCTGCGCTGCCTCCTCCAGCCTGAGTCTGGCTCACCTGGGAGTGGGAAGGGTTACTGGCTGTCAGGACTGGGCTATGGCTGAGGGACTGCCCATGACCCTCAACACAGCTCTAATTTGACACCTATGTGGTGGGTGCTCAGGTCACACATGTGACCTGCACCTATAGGGTACCTCAGCAAGTCTAAAGTGGCACTCACGGTCCTGTTAAAAAGCAAATACTTGACTGTTTTCTGCCTAGAGTCTCATGGTCCTGGTTTCCTCACCCCTGGTCAGGTTGTTTGACCCCAGTTCCATCCAAGAGCAGCTGGAGAATGAACTAGGTGAATTAGCTGAAGGTCTCTCCAGAGATGGGCACTGAGGCTGCAGAGTCCTCCAGAGCTGGAGCCCAGGTTGGGCCTCGCTACTTGTGTGGGGCTACCTCAGCCTTCCAGCTTCCTCCTTCACCCCAAGTGTTGGTGGGAAAACCACCTTTCTTTCAAGGCATGCTCTGGCTCTCCAAGCAAATCCATTAAAAAGACAAGATCTCTTTTCAAACCCAGAGGGACCACTTGAGGCTGTCTGGGAGCTGATGTCAGCCACAAGCTCCCAGGGAGCTGTTACCTGAGGGCATCAGCCAGTCACCAGCCTGGACGCTACCCACTGTTTACCTAGTCCCTTTGATCCAGGAATAGCAAAACCCTTAACTTATCCAGCCTCATTAGGGGGCCTCTGAAGTGGTGACTTTGATGGTTCCAAGCAAGGTAGTAAACACAAGGTTGCAGAAGAGGCCCCAGGTTGCCACGGTGAACAATCTGCCTCACCTCAGTGGGTCCCTATGGGTGCCTGTAGCCCCACCTGGACTTAAAATTGCTGGACGAGTAGGTGGAGAGACTGACTCGGATTGGTGACTGAAAGCAGCGTCCACACCCAGCCTGGCCCACCCAGGTTTGTCCTACCTGATTTGTTCATTTGAGCCTGGGTATGAGGTGGCACTCACTAAACACAGTGGGTATAGCTTATTAGGGTGGGGAGTGCATTAACCTAGATGTGCTTGTTTTTGAAGCCCAAAAACCCACAGGGACATGTGCATAGACCCTGTACTTGGCCTAAGATGTGCCAGATACAATTCTAGGCATTGAAAATGCATCAGCAAACAAAACAGATCAGGTTTCCTGTCCTCATGGAGATTACATTCTAAAGTGGGGCAGACAGAAAAAAAGAACTATATGGTCTTAGAAGATCCGTGATGCTTTAAATATATACGGGGTTAAGTCAACAAGTATAGCTACTATGGTTCTAGTTTAGACATGCACAGATTTACTCCAAACAATCAGTGTTTAAACATGTCTCTGTGGCCAGTGGACGATTGCAGACAAGTTCTCTTAGTAATACACTTGTCTTAGTCTCGATACCCAAACCAAATCCACTTGTATTGAATCAATTCTGACTCATAGCTGTGCTATATAGGGTTTCCAAGACAACAAATCTTATGAGAACAATCTCATCTTTCTCCCTCAGAGTATATGGTGGGTTTGAACCTGACCTGAGGTTAGCAACCCAACACCTAACCCACAGTGCCACCAGGGTTCCTTGTAGTCTTGTCAGGTTGCCTTCAAAACAAAGACCCAATCAAGCTAGTAGCTTTTGAGGAGATCTGCTAGACCAGCAGAGAGGTCAGGTCAGCTCAGAAGGTTTTGGTTTGGGGAATTCCCAAGGGTAATCTTGATAGATGTTCTGGAAGGACACAGTAAGATCATAGGGAATTATTAGAAAGACATTTTAGCTCATTATTTATGGGTAGCAAGGGCTTTCCTAGGAGAATTTCATTGGGAAACCTTATCCCATTCACTCTACAACCCCAATCTTGCTTCTTCAGATTTCTTTTGTTCCCCAAACTCTAAGAACATTTCAAAGGAACACAATTTGAGCCCCTCAAGGATGCCAAAGCTTCTGTTGTGACATGGTATAAATCAGAGTACAGAATTTCATCAAGAAAAGATTAAAGAGATAGAAACACCACCTTCAGAACTGTGTTGTCTTAGATGGAGGCCATGTCAAGAAATGATAGCATCGCATTTTGATATTTTTGTTTAATAAAGGTTTCTATGATTTTGTAGCAGTACTTTTTGACTTTTCCTTATCTGTAGCAGGGTAAGGGATTGGAAGTGCTAAGTTTGCATCTTTAAGAAATTAGGCTGGGTCTCATTGAGAAGGTGATGAGTGAGCAAAGACTTCATAAAGGTAATGGGAAGCAAGCCACAAGGATGTCTGGGGAAAGAACATTCTGGGCAGAAGGAACTAGTCTGTAACTGTACACGTGCCCCTGGCAGGTGTGTCTTTCGGGGGAGGGGGAGAATATGTGCATCCAAGAGTGCCTGGCTGGCCTGTGTGCATGTGTGTATTCACTGGAGCTGATCCAAATAGTCACGCAAGTGTCGATGTGGGAGTGTAAGACAGGAATTCACAGTAACTGCCACCATTTCTTGCTTCTCAGGCTTTTGGCTAAGATCAGGTGTAGTATCTGTTCTTATCAGTTTAATATCCAATGTGTTCTCTGTCTGAAGGAGCTCTGGCAGCATAGTGGTTACAAATTAGGCTGCTAAGTTCAGCAGTTCAAAACTACCAGCTGTTCCGCGGGAGAAAGATGAGGCTTTCTGCTCCCATAAAGCTTTACAGCCTTGGAAACCCTGTGCAGGGTTGCTATGAGTCAGATCTGACTCCACAGCACATAACAACAACCTCAAGGTCAGCAGTTTGAAACTACCAGCTGTTCTGTGGGAGAAAGATGAGGCTTTCCACTCCTGTAAAGACTTCTGTTATGTGCCAAGGATTTACAGCCTCTGAAACCCTATACGTGGTCGCTGAGTCGGAACTGACTCCACCACCACCACTTGTCGAGTCCTTTAGTCCAGGTCAGGCACAGTGCTAAGGTTTTGTTTGTTGTTGTTGAAAATAAACACAGCAAAAGATAACACCAATTCAGCCATTTCTACATGTATACTTCAATGAGGTATTGACTACATTATTCAAGTTACAGTAACATCTCTGATCATTATCCCATTTCATCCTTACTTCATGAGGAAACAGCATCATTCCTGTATTACAGATGAGGAAACTGAGGCCAGAGAGGTCAGGCAGGCTTCTCTGACTCCAGAACTATTGTTTGTTAACCGGCTCGCTATGCTGTGCCTACACTGATTCACATGGATGATGTGACAAAATGTCTCTTGTCCACCACTCATCTGTCACTTTGTCATACTGTGGTGGCTTGTGTATTGCTGGAAGCTATGCCACCAGTATTTTAATACCAGCAGGATCACCCAGGATGGACAAGTTTCAGCTGAGCTTGTCTCTTATACATGTATGACAACATGCCTGACATGTGATAGTGAAATAGTTTGTATTACTGTGACATTTATCATGTTAGGTCTGACTATGGCACAGTGTTCCGCAGGAGAAAGATGAGGCTTTCTGCTCCTGTAAAGATTTACAGCCTCGGAAACCCTGTGCAGGGTCACTATGAGTCGGAACCAACTCCACGGTACTTAACAATAACATGGCATAGTGTAGCCTTGTTGTTAGGTACGGTCAAGTCAGAAGAAAACACTGCCCCGTCTTGTGCCATCCTCACAATGATTACATTTGAGTCCACTGCTGCTGCCACTGTGCCAATCCATCTAATTGAGGGGTCTTCCTTTTTGTCTGACACTCCACTTTACCATGCAGGATGTCCTCTAGGGACTGGTTCCTCCTGGTGATATGCCTGAAGATGTATTATTTTATTGATGTATATATGACATTAGCCATGACGGTGGTGACCACGTCAGGGGCTTGTGATGGTAACAAATGGGCCTGTGGGTGTGTTTGGAGGCAATGCAGTGTTTGGGGGCTGTGAGAAAAACACTGATTCCATGGCTGACATTGCTCCTCTCATGAACAATTTCTGCAGCCATTTATTTAAAAGGACTAAGGCGCTGGGAGTGGGGGGAGTCTTGCCCTCCCCACACCTGCAAACCCACAGTGCTCTCCAATCAACAATCCACCCACCCCTCCAGACCCATAGGAAAGAAGTCCCAAAGGAGGATGGAACATCTCTGTGTACTTTGGGGATCAGAAGTTATACCAGGCAGG